ACACTGTACACTGTGTATGTTAGGCCCATACTGGAGTATGCAGCACCAGTCTGGAACCCACACCTGGTCAAGCACGTCAAGAAGTTAATAAAGAAAGTACAAATGTTTGCAACAAGGCTAGTCCCAGAGTTCAAGGGAATGTCGTACGAGGAAAGGTTGAGGGAAATCGGACTGACGACACTGGAGGACAGAAGGGTCAGGGAAGACATGATAACGACTTACAAGATACTGCGGGGAATAGACAAGGTGGACAGAGATAGGATGTTCCAGAGAGGGGACACAGGGACAAGGGGTCACAACTGGAAGCTGAAGACTCAGACGAGTCACAGGGACGTTAGGAAGTATTTCTTCAGTCATAGAGTTGTCAGGAAGTGGAATAGCCAAGCAAGTGAAGTAGTGGAGGCAGGAACCATACATAGTTTTAAGAAGAGGTATGACAAAGCTCAGGAAGCAGAGAGGGAGAGGACCTAGTAGCGATCAGTGAAGAGGCGGGGCCAGGAGCTTAGTCTCGACCCCTGCAACCACAATTAGGTGAGTACACACACACACAAACACACACACATACACTCGCCGGAAGCACACATTCATCACCTTCAAAACTACCATTAGAAAACATCTTATCTCCCTGATACACCCCGTCAACTAACTACACGAATACCACCTGGTGGTTCACACTTACACTCACTCACTCATTTGACCATAAACAGAAATATTAATCTCAGTCTTAAAATAATGAATCCTGTGATACTCCAATACTGAAACTATGTACTGTGCCAAAACAAAAGCATTCACATTGCTAAACTCACAAACTAGTATTTAGTCACTTAGCCATAATACCAACTTACCTCATAATTTGTAATATTTTAAAATTAAGAATAAAACTAAGTATGCCCGAAATGCCTAGCCATGCTAAGCGTTCTAGTGGTACACTCTGTAATCACAATTTTACTACATGTAAACCAAACAATAACCAAATTTCTGTAAACTAAGCATTGTAATCCTTATAGAGAATAAACTTTGAATTTGAATTTGAATTTGAATTTGAACCAGATAACTGCTGCAGCATATGGGCGCCTGGCAAACCTGAGAATAGAGTTCCGATACCTTAGTAAGTAATCGTTCAAGACACTGTACACGTGTACGTCAGGCCCATACTGGAGTATGCAGCACCAGTTTGGAACCCGCACTTGATCAAGCACGTCAAGAAATTAGAGAAAGTGCAAATGTTTGCGACAAGGTTAGTTCCAGAGCTAAGGGGAACGTCCTATGAAGAAAGGTTAAGGGAAATCGGCCTGACGACACTGGAGGACAGGAGGGTTAGGGGAGACATGATAACGACATACACAATACTGCGTGAAATAGACAAGGTGGACAGAGACAGGATGTTCCAGAAAGGGGACACAGAAACAAGGGGACACAGAAACAAGAGGACACAGAAACAAGGGGTCACAGTTGAAAGTTGAAGACTCAGATGAATCACAGGGATGTTAGGAAGTATTTCTTCAAAGAGTTGTTAGGAAGTGAAATAGTCTGGGAAGTGGTGTAGTGGAGGCAGGATCCATACATAGCTTTAAGAAGAGGTATGATAAACCTCATGGAGCAGGAAGAGTGACCAGTGAAGAGGTGGGACCAGGAGCTGTGACTCGACCCCTGCAACCACAGCTAGGTGAGTACAACTGGGTGAATACAGGGGTCAGGCTGGCTGACAGTAACACTGACCAGACTCACCCTTGAGAGGCAGGGGCACAGAGTGGGTTGGCACAGAGCCTTTTTTATACCCCACGACGGAGCCTGCTGGAGGCGGCACTCATCTTATAAATCTCAGCCTCCATAGCCCTTAGAGAGAAGAGAGAGAGGAGAGAGAGAGAGGAGGAGAGAGAGAGAGAGAGAGAGAGAGAGAGAGAGAGAGGAGAGAGAGAGAGAGAGAGAGAGGAGAAGAGAGAGAGAGAGAGAGAGAGAGAAAGAGAGAGAGAGAGAGAGAGAGAGAGAGGGAGAGAGAGAGAGAGAGAGAGACGGGGGGGAGTGAGAGAGAGAGAGAGAGCACCAGTACAGGCCTGTCTCCTAAGAGACGTGACGTCACTTCATCTGATATACCTCCAGGATATCCTTGACAGAACTTATGAGTCACTGTAGATCTTGTGTATGAGTCACTGTAGATCTTGTGTATGAGTCACTGTAGATCTTGTGTATGAGTCACTGTAGATCTTGTGTATGAGTAACCAGATCTTGTGTATGAGTCACTGTAGATCTTGTGTATGAGTAACCGTAGATCTTGTGTATGAGTCACTGTAGATCTTGTGTATGAGTCACTGTAGATCTTGTGTATGAGTCACTGTAGATCTTGTGTATGAGTCACTGTAGATCTTGTGTATGAGTCACTGTAGATCTTGTGTATGAGTCACTGTAGATCTTGTGTATGAGTCACTGTAGATCTTGTGTATGAGTCACTGTAGATCCTGTGTATGAGTCACCGTAGATCTTGTGTATGAGTCACCGTAGATCTTGTGTTTGAGTCACCGTAATCTTGTGTATGAGTCACCGTAGATCTTGTGTATGAGTCACCATAGATCTTGTGTATGAGTCACTGTAGATCTTTTGTATGAGTCACCGTAGATCTTGTGTATGAGTCACCGTAGATCTTGTGTATGAGTCACTGTAGATCCTGTGTATGAGTCACTGTAGATCTTGTGTATGAGTCACCGTAGATCTTGTGTATGAGTCACCGTAGATCTTGTGTATGAGTCACCGTAATCTTGTGTATGAGTCACCGTAGATCTTGTGTATGAGTCACCGTAGATCTTGTGTATGAGTCACCGTAGATCTTGTGTATGAGTCACCGTAGATCTTGTGTATGAGTCACCGTAGATCTTGTGTATGAGTCACCGTAGATCTTGTGTATGAGTCACTGTAGATCTTTTGTATGAGTCACTGTAGATCCTGTGTATGAGTCACTGTAGATCCTGTGTATGAGTCACCGTAGATCTTGTGTATGAGTCACTGTAGATCCTGTGTATGAGTCACTGTAGATCTTGTGTATGAGTCACTGTAGATCTTGTGTATGAGTCACTGTAGATCTTGTGTATGAGTCACTGTAGATCTTGTGTATGAGTCACCGTAGATTTTGTGTATGAGTCACTGTAGATCTTGTGTACGAGTCACTGTAGATCTTGTGTATGAGTCACTGTAGATCTTAGTGTATGAGTCACCGTAGATCTTGTGTATGAGTCACCGTAGATCTTGTGTATGAGTCACTGTAGATCTTGTGTATGTGTCACTGTAGATCTTGTGTATGAGTCACTGTAGATCTTGTGTATGAGTCACTGTAGATCTTGTGTATGAGTCACTGTAGATCTTGTGTATGAGTCACCGTAGATCTTGTGTATGAGTCACTGTAGATCTTGTGTATGAGTCACTGTAGATCTTGTGTATGAGTCACTGTAGATCTTGTGTATGAGTCACTGTAGATCTTGTGTATGAGTCACTGTAGATCTTGTGTATGAGTCACCGTAGATCTTGTGTATGAGTCACTGTAGATCTTGTGTATGAGTCACTGTAGATCTTGTGTATGAGTCACTGTAGATCCTGTGTATGAATCACTGTAGATCCTGTGTATGAGTCACTGTAGATCCTGTGTATGAGTCACTGTAGATCTTGTGTATGAGTCACTGTAGATCCTGTGTATGAATCACTGTAGATCCTGTGTATGAGTCACTGTAGATCCTGTGTATGAGTCACTGTAGATTTTGTGTATGAGTCACTGTAGATCCTGTGTATGAATCACTGTAGATCCTGTGTGTGAGTCACTGTAGATCCTGTGTATGAATCACTGTAGATCCTGTGTATGAATCACTGTAGATCCTGTGTATGAGTCACCGTAGATCTTGTGTATGAGTCACTGTAGATCCTGTATATGAGTCACTGTAGATCTTGTGTATGAGTCACTGTAGATCATGTGTAGTAGTCACTGTAGCTCTACCTACCTAGAGGGTATTCCGGGGGTCAACGCCCCCGCGGTCCATGACCAGGCCTCTCGATGGATCATGACCTGATCAAACATTAACTAACCTTAATAACACATCTCTTCGGCCAACGTAATTTCTATTTTTAAAGCAGGGGACAAGTCGTTACCGTTAAATTACCGCCTAATAAACCTGACCTCAATTATAGTCAAATTACTAGAGTCAGTTATAGCTGATATTATAAGAAGTCATCTTGATAAGCATAATTTGATTAATGATACTCAGCATGGATTCACGAGGGGCCGTTCCTGCCTAACTAATTTACTAACTTTCTTCAGTAAAGTGTCTGAGGCCGTTGAACACGATCAAGAATTCGATATTATTTATTTGGATTTTCAGAGACTGTTAGAGAAAGTGGCAGCTCATGGTACTTGGGGAAAAGTGCTGTCATGGATCGAGTCATGGCTCAGCTCACCAACAGGAAGCAGAGATTGTGCATAAATGAGGTAAAGTCTGAGTGGGGATCTGTAATAAGTGGCGTTCCACCGGGATCAGTTTAAGGCCCGTTCTTGTTTATAATATATATCAATGGCATTTGTGTGATGAATGGTTTTGAAAACCGACAAGTTGAAGAATTGAGACCCTTATGCAACATATGGGAATCTTTATTGAAGAAACGTTTCGCCACACAGTGGTTTCATCAGTCCAATACGAAGTAGAAATGGACAAGGAGAGGAGGAGTTTGAGGTAATCAGTCCCTCGGCCTGGAATCGATGTGTTCAGTCCATCACTCTTGTAGGAGGTACAGCATAGGGCCAGAGAGGTGGCTTATATACTGCAGTCAGGTGAGTCGAAACAGGAGGAGGTGGGATCACAGTGGGACCTTCCACTAGTGTAAATAGGTCTTCGTCCAAAGGTTGGACAAGCGTTGAAGAAATCTTTGTACCAGGCATCACGTCTGTCAGACACTGCAACATCATGGGATCTTGGTAAAAAGACTTCTTCAACGTTTGTCCAACCTTTGAACGAAGACCTACTTACACTAGTGGAAGGTCCCACTGTCAGTATCAATATGTCAGTATCAATATGTGTCAGTATGTTTTAAACTCTAATCCGTACCTACTCTCTGCCTTTTTGCTTGACGCTTATAGTAGGCTGAAGAATCATCTCTTGCCAATGTCCAGCAATAGTCTGCAAACATTCTTGTGCCCCATTTGACCTGGTACCATTTACCCATGGTTGAAATATCTTGGTGAAACCTTTCACCATGTTCGTCACTAACTTGAAAAAAGTCTAAATGTGAGTCCAAAAAGTGGATTTTAAGTGACATGTTACATCCCATGTTCTTGTAAGCCTTGATGAGGTTTTCCACCAGTTCTTCATAGTTGCCTTCCCTTCTGTTTCTGAGAAATCCCTTCGCCACTAACTTGAATGCTTCCCTAGCAGCTTTCTCCTCCCCAGGAAGGTCTGATTCAAAATCACCATCTTGAAGTTCTCGAATCTCACGACCACTGAAGACTCCCTCTCTTATCTTAGCATCGCTCAGTGAGGGGAATTTTGATGGTAAATACTTGAATCATTGACCGGATTTGTCCATAGCTTTTACAAAGTTTTTCATCACCCCCAGTTTTATGTGTAGTGGTGGTAGCAAAATTTTGTTTGGTTCAATGAGAGGTGGATGTTGAACATTATTCATCGCAGGCTCCAATGATTGACGAGGTGGCCAGTCTCCCCTGGTGTAGTAGGAACCTCTTGCACGACTGTCCCATTCACATAGAAAGGAGCAGTACTTGGTGTATCCGTTCTGCAAGTCCATTACAAGAGCAACAGCCTTTAAGTCACCACAGAGCTGCCATTGCAACATATGCTTTATATTCTCATAAGTTTCTTTCATATGTGGTACATAGCCCACATGGAACTGATGGTTTAAGCAGCAAGACACCTTTCAGACTCGTTTCTGATGAATCTATGAACAGCCTCCAGTGATTCGGCTCGTAGTCGATGCCAAGTGCTTCCATCAGACCATTAATATTGTTGCAGCCCACTAAACCACCTTCCTTTACGAATAAATTGTTCAACTGCTGCTGACAGTCACGAAATTTTGAAATCTTCAAATCAGCTGCTAGGAGATTCCACTGTTGAAGACGAAAGCCTAGCAGCTCTGCCTTATTTTTGAGTAGTTGCAGATCCCTGACAAGGTCATGGAGTTCCCTTTTTGTTATAAGATGTGGTCTAGAGGAGTGTGCTTCATCAAAGTTTCGGTCATTCTGTAATCTAGCACTGTCATCCTTCTCTTCTTCCTTCTCACCACTTTCTTCATCTGACTCGAAGTATACCGAAGTTGGTGCATCAGGGACAGGTAGACGTTCTCCATGTGGAACTGGGCGAATAGCCGATGGAATGTTTGGATATTCAATGGACCCCTTTTTTTCTATGACAAGCCCTTTTGTATTGGAGGTACCATGCAGAAATAGCAATTGTTTGTATGGTCTGTTGGCTCCCGCCATGTCATTGGCACAGCAAAAGGCATTCCTTTCCTCTTCCTGTTCAACCATTGGCGAAGGTTAGTAGCACAATTGTTGCAGCAGGTGTGTGGAGCCCAGTTCCTATCCTGGTCACCAATCTTGCATCCAAAATATAAGTGATATGCCTTTCTAACTATGTGAGTTATAAGGCGCTTCTGTGATACAAAGGTCACCTCACCACAAATGTAGCAGAAGATGTCTGTATTATTCACACAAGTACGAGGCATCTGAAAGAAGAAAAGAATAAACAATAAGAAGATAAAGAAAATTTATTCATTAATTTATCATTATAATACAGAACATGACAGCTAAGCAGAAGCATTTATTTCATTCAGAAGGAAAATATAATTAATATAATATGACTCACTTGCATATCAGTAGCTTGTTCAGTGAATATTTATTATAAGTTTAAAAAGTGTTTAGCTAAGAAAATCACCGACCTTTCACCTCAAAATATAAACTTGTACATCACAACCATCTTCTGTCTGCTGGAACAATAATGAAGGTCAGTCAGACTGTGAGGGTGGTAAGAAACACACTGCCACAAGACTGTTGGAACCTGTTGTGACACGTAGGTCTATATTGAAAAGTAGAGATAACAAACAGTTTTACCCATGATATTGTTACTCAGGTCTCGGAAGCATTCTGGTTGTTGACCAATGTTATGTCAAAGAATTGAGAGCCCCTGACATTATCACTCATAAGTCGCTCACATTAGTTTTCTGTTCTATTGTGTGGAAAGAATTGGTCTTATATCCTATAACTGGAATTTATCGTCATAGAAAATCATATTGTTTTCCGTAGTCCACTTGAAGTATCCTCAGTGGAAGTCACTCATGCATGTTCTTGTATCGTCAGTATAAGAAGACACGGTGCTGTGGCGTACATCTCTAGGTCAGATATAAGGAAGAGCAACAGGATGGGAGCGAGTACTGTATCTTGTGGAAAAGGATGGGAGCGAGTACTGTGCCTTGTGGAACAGGATGGGAGCGAGTACTGTGCCTTGTGGAACAGGATGGGAGCGAGTACTGTGCCTTGTGGAACAGAATGGGAGCGAGTACTGTGCCCTGTGGAACAGGATGGGAGCGAGTACTGTACCTTGTAGAACAGGATGGGAGCGAGTACTCTATCTTGTGGAAAAGGATGGGAGCGAGTACTGTGCCTTGTAGAACAAGATGGGAGCGAGTACTGTGCCATGTGGAACAGAATGGGAGCGAGTACTGTATCTTGTGGAACAGGATGGGAGCAAGTACTGTGCCTTGTGGAACAGGATGGGAGCAAGTACTGTGCCTTGTGGAACAGGATGGAAGCGAGTACTCTATCTTGTGGAACAGGATGGGAGCGTGTACTGTGCCATGTGGAACAGGATGGGAGCGAGTACTGTACCTTGTGGAAAAAGATGGGAGCGAGTACTGTACCTTTTGGAACAGGATGGGAGCGAGTACTGTGCCTTGTGGAACAGAATGGGAGCGAGTACTGTGCCTTTTGGAACAGGATGGGAGCGAGTACTGTGCCTTGTGGAACAGGATGGGAGGAAATACTGTGCCTTGTGGAACAGGATGGGAGCGAGTACTATACCTTGTGGAACAAGATGGGAGCGAGTTCTATGCCTTGCGGAACAGGATGGGAGCGAGTACTGTGCCTTGTGGAACAGGATGGGAGCGAGTACCGTGCCTTGTGGAACAGGATCTGAGCGTGTACTGTGCCTTGTGGAACAGGATGGGAGCGAGTACTGTGCCTTGTGGAACAGGATGGGAGCGAGTACTGTACCTTGTGGAACAGGATGGGAGCCAGTACTGTATCTTGTGGAACAGGATGGGAGTGTGTACTGTGCCTTGTGGAACAGGATGGGAGCTAGTACTGTGCCTTGTGGAACAGGATGGGAGCGAGTACTGTACCTTGTGGAACAGGATGGGAGCGAATACTGTGCATTGTGGAACAGTATGGGAGCGAGTACTGTGCCTTGTGGAACAGGATGGGAGCGACAACTGTGCCTTGTGGAACACGATGGAAGCGAGTACTGTACCTTGTGGAACATGATGGGAGCGAGTACTGTACCTTGTGGAACAGGATGGGAGCGAGCACTGTATCTTGTGGAACAGGATGGGAGCGAGTACTGTGCCTTGGGGATCAGGATGGGAGCGAGTACTGTGCCTTGTGGAACAGGAGGGGAGCGAGTACTGTACCTTGTGGAACAGGATGGGAGCGAATACTGTGCATTGTGGAACAGGATGGGAGCGAATACTGTACCTTGTGGAACAGGACGGGAGCGTGTGCTGTGCCATGTGGAACAGGATGGGAGCGAGTACTGTGACTTGTGGAACAGGAGGGGAGCGAGTACTGTACCTTGTGGAACAGGATGGGAGCGAATACTGTGAATTGTGGAACAGGATGGGAGCGTGTGCTGTGCCATATGGAACAGGATGGGAGCGAGTACTGTGCCTTGTGGAACAGGATGGGAGCGAGTACTGTGCCTTGTGGAACAGGATGGGAGCGTGTACTGTGCCTTGTGGAATAGGATGGGAGCGAATACTGTGCCTTGTGGAACACGATGGGAGCGAGTACTGTGCCTTGTGGAACAGGGTGGGAGCGTGTACTGTGCCATGTGGAACAGAATGGGAGCGAATACTGTGCCTTGTGGAACAGGATGGGAGCGAGTACTGTGCCTTGTGGAACAGGATGGGAGCGAGTACTGTGCTTTGTGGAGCAGGATGGGAGCGAGTACTGCGCCTTATGGAACAGGATGGAAGCGAGTACTGTGCCATGTGGAACAGGATGTGAGCGAGTACAGTGCCTTGTGGAACAGGATGGAAGCGAGTACTGTGCATTGTGGAACAGGATGGGAGCGAATACTGTACCTTGTGGAACAGGATGGGAGCGTGTGCTGTGCCATGTGGAACAGGATGGGAGCGAGTACTGTGCCTTGTGGAACAGGATGGAAGCGAGTACTGTACATTGTGGAACAGAATGGGAGCGAGTACTGTGCCTTGTGGAACAGGATGGGAGCGAGTACTGTGCCTTGTGGAACAGGATGGGAGCGAGTACTGTGTCTTGTAGAACAGGATGAGAGGGAGTATTGTATCTTGTGGAACAGGATGGGAGCGAGTACTGTATCTTGTGGAAAAGGATGGGAGGAAGTACTGTGCCTTGTGGAACAGGATGGGAGCGAGTACTGTACCTTGTGAAACTGGATGGGAGCGAGTTCTGTGCATTGTGGAACAGGTTGGGAGCGAGTACTGTGGCTTGTGAAACAGGATGGGAGCGAGTACTCTATCTTGTGGAACAGGATGGGAGCGAGTACTGTGCCTTGTATAACAGAATTGGAGCGAGTGTTGTATCTAGTGGAACAGGATGGGAACGAGTACTGTGCCTTGTGGAACAGGATGGGAGCGAGTGCTGTATCTTGTGGAACAGGATGGGAACGAGTACTGTGCCTTGTGGAACAGGATGGGAGCGAATACTGTACCTCGTGAAACAGGATGGGAGCGATTTCTGTGCATTGTGGAATAGGATGGGAACGAGTACTGTGCCTTGTGGAACAGAATGGGAGCGAGTACTGTATCTTGTGGAACACGATGGGTGCGAGTACTGTGCTTTGTGGAATAGGAGGGGAGGGTGTACTGTGCCTTGTGGAACAGGATGGAAGCGAGTACTCATCTTGTGGAACAGGATGGGAGCGAGTACTGTACCTTATGGAACAGGATTGGAGCGAGAACTGTACCTTATGGAACACTATGGGAGCGAGTACTGTGCCATGTGGAACAGGATGGAAGCGACTACTGTACCTTGTGGAACAGGATCGGAGCGAGTACTGTGACTTGTGGAACAAAATGGGAGCAAGTGCTGTGCCTTGTGGAACAGGATGGGAGCGAGTACTGTGCCTTGTGGAACAGGATGGGAGCGACTACTGTACCTTGTGGAACAGGATCGGAGCGAGTACTGTATCTTGTGGAACAGGATGGGAGCGAGTACTGTGCCTTGTGGAACAGGATGGGAGCGAGTACTCTGCCTTGTGGAACAGGATGGGAGCGAGTACTCTGCCTTGTGGAACAGGATGGGAGCGAGTACTCTGCCTTGCGGAACAGGATGGGAGCGAGTACTCTGCCTTGTGGAACAGGATGGAAGCGAGCACTTTGCCTTGTGGAACAGGATGGGAGCGAGTACTCTGCCTTGTGGAAAAGAATAGGAGCGAGTACTCTGACTTGTGGAACAGGATGGGAGCGAGTACTGTGCCTTGTGGAACAGGATGGGAGCGAGTACTGTGCCTTGTGGAACAGGATGGGAGCGAGTACTCTGCCTTGTGGAACAGGATGGGAGCGAGTACTGTGCCTTGTGGAACAGGATGGGAGCGAGTACTCTGCCTTGTGGAACAGGATGGGAGCGAGTACTGTGCCTTGTGGAACAGGATGGGAGTGAGTACTGTGCCTTGTGGAACAGGATGCGAGCGAGTACTCTGCCTTGTGGGAAAGGATAGGAGCGAGTACTCTGACTTGTGGAACAGGATGGGAGCGAGTACTGTGCCTTGTGGAACAGGATGGGAGCGAGTACTGTGCCTTGTGGAACAGGATGGGAGCGAGTACTCTGCTTGTGGAACAGGATGGGAGCGAGTACTGTGCCTTGTGGAACAGGATGGGAGCGAGTACTCTGCCTTGTGGAACAGGATGGGAGCGAGTACTCTGCCTTGTGGAAAAGGATGGGAGCGAGTACTCTGACTTGTGGAACAGGATGGGAGCGAGTACTGTGCCTTGTGGAACAGGATGGGAGCGAGTACTGTGCCTTGTGGAACAGGATGGGAGCGAGTACTCTGCCTTGTGGAACAGGATGGGAGCGAGTACTGTGCCTTGTGGAACAGGATGGGAGCGAGTACTGTGCCTTGTGGAACAGGATGGGAGCGAGTACTCTGCCTTGTGGAACAGGATGGGAGCGAGTACTCTGCCTTGTGGAACAGGATGGGAGCGAGTACTCTGCCTTGTGGAACAGGA